GAGCAGATGTACCTTACGAACATTCCTTTCCGATGTTCTATCTCAAACTGGTTGCTTGACATTCAAATGAAACGAGAGGTATTAATTCAAGAATGTATCGAAGATTCTTGATTTTCATATAACTAGAAAAATTCTATATCGCTGTATTCTTAAGTATCATCGTCGAGACGTCACGGACGATCCAAATCCTTTGGATTTAATTGCTTTTCCGGTGCTCGTAGCCGTGGCAAGACGTTTCAAGCGCAACCACTGTTCAGACAGACTCGGTTGTTGCAACTGCACTTCCTCCGACTGTCGTTTGCGCAAGTATCTCCGCGTGCTACTCGAGCATTACGTGGCGACGTTTGCATTGGCAGAAAAACAGGTACTGTATTGTGTGTTTGCTAGCCGCTGGGCTTCCAATTAAATGGGACTGCGCGCGTGGGAGGAAAATTGCGCGTTTCGAGAAGCCTCTTTGTCGAAAACATTTTCCCTCTGTCGAAACAATAAATTCCCAAGTAACAACGCGTCAGGTACAGTTTCGCGGTGAAGACAGAAGTCTAAGATCATCGCGAAAAGCATCGGGTAGCCACGCTATCGTGACACTCGAAATCTTGTGGAAATTCGTTTTCGATAACTGGTATGCACCTACGATGATACCGTTGCAAAGCTGAGCCACACCCTTGGCCGTGCACACAAGCATCCGGGCACACGCGATGAAACGAACGGCGGATACACGTGACCGTGTGTACACCGTAGCGGTTGTACCGATTCTATCTGCCCGATCCAGACGCGCTCTGCTCGTGGAAAAGGGAAGAGCCGCCTTGGAATTCGAGGCGAAATCGACCGTTCCTTCGCCTACGGATTCCTTCGTTCTTAAAACATTCTAATTTCATCGGGGGAACATTCTTCCGTTGGAAGATCCTCTTTAGAGAAAATCTGTGAGAGTTGTGAGTACATTGGAAATTGGAATATCGAGTAAGAACCGCTTAAATATTGTGACAGAGGCCAGGGTGGACCCACCCTTTCCCCAAAATTGCGTCCTATTTTAAACGAAAATCCTAATTACATCGTTGCATATATCTCGTGACGCTTGAAAATGGAAACTGGAACTGAAATTATACGATAATCCAGTCGAAATTGGTACGGCTGTTGAACCGATTGCTCTCGTCGTTCGAGCGCAAGATAGGCACGGATTGCTAAACGCGAGCCGCGGCCGCGTGTGTCATTAAACCAGTATCCTAGACAACTGGCGTTGATTATTTAGCAATACAAATCATTCCGCGCGCGAGATACTTCCATCCTCCTCGTACCTGTCTATCTAGTCCACCGCGAGCCTCGCTCCTTCTCGCTTTCCTCCCGTTTCCAAGCGGGTTCTCGCGTGCGCGGGCGTGGTACGTACCACTTACGCGCGACTGGACGCGTACCTATGTGTACACGCAGACAGGCGAGCACGCGACTACCATCGAGTACAGGTATGTACACTTGTGTGCATCAGATAGCCGCGCGGAGAAACAGTTTCGTTGATTAGCGAGCTCGTTGAACCGGCCGTATTACTTTGTCGAATCACAGAAACGCTCCCAACATCGAGAATTATGGCCTTCTCCTGGTAGCTTAAATATCGTCGCCCGTGTCGGAGATAAAAGAGAAAAGTAACAATTGTAATTAATTTCGAAGTACACCATTGGGTAGGGATCGGTAATAAATACAAATGCACGATGCCTCGAAAATATCGTTGCATCGGAGGAAGACGTTCAGTATGAAAGATTGACTCCGCCAGACGCTGATAGCGGTCTCGGTAAATGATGATCGCGCGAAGAAACTAATGGCCGGCGATTATTTCAAGCGTATTCCGGGTCAGGCAACAAGACCGTGAAAAGCCACGGTTCTGGACGGGGCTTGGTCCAGGTTAAGGTGATATTTCCTCAGGCCAGCGATGCGTTCATGGTTGATTTCACCGAGATTAAGCATTTTCTTGCGATGCTACGAGCTCGAGGCTTGCCTACCTACCGTCTGTCAGACGATGCGCCACCGCCCTGCACGATTCAGGAAGCGAGCTAAGCTTCGAACGTTCTTCTAACGCTTCTTCCCCCCGTTTCTATCTCCTTCTACCTAGGCTGATTAGCCGTCTCGACCCTGATAACATCGATCTGGCCGACGACCTTTCCGATAACGCGTTATCAGAGGATCTCTCGGGCCACGGAATGACTCATCGAACGAGTTGGCGTGGCAGGGATCGTCGTGTTCCAGCAGCGAATCGCTATTGCAAACGATTATCCCCGTGCACGCGGAAACTCGAAGCTTGACGAGTGACTCTTCAACGCATTACAATCTTCCCGAAATGACTTGCTTCTCGTTAGGAGATCAGGCGTCTCCGTGTGTTCGTGCTTGCTTACTTTCGGAGAGGTTCTAGATTTCTGATCGTAGATAGGTGTCAAATAATAATACAACGACCTATTAATTAACAGACGCGAGTAAAATCGTAGCGGAGCTGAAAAGCTTTCTAAAAGAGCAAGAAGAAAATTTTATATTACTTTGTTTTCTTTTCATCCAGGATTTTATATTACGATAAGATAGCGAGAGTGGATGTCACCGACTTCCGCCGCCTCCTTTATCGTCCATTCCTCTGCTGTGTCCGGTTCCATTGGCGGGCAAGCGATCTAATCGAATGCGGGATCTCGCGGTATCGTCGATAGGGGATTTTTCTTCTTTTTACGATCATCGAGCGAATCGTCGTGGCCGATGTCATTATCCTAGGAAAGTAGATAATGGCGGCTGGCAAATGCCTGGATCGGCAGGCAAACTATGCAGCAGCCTGGAGCCGCATTATCGCGGGATTACGTAAGCACCGTGCACGCCGCTACTCTTGTGTGTTGTGTTACGCTATAATTAGGACCAGCTTGGCATAACCGCGAGCCGAGCGCAAATACGCCCGGCGTGTAATCCGCGTCCGCGTACTATTAACGACCGGCGATAAACCTTAACGGGCGATGGGTCCTCGGTGAAGAAAAACCTCGGCTGACGATCGAGATGCCGTGCCATGGTGAAAGGGTGAGCGTCCAGCATCTTTTGATCGATCATAGATCGATCAGATCTTTTTGCTTTTCTTTTTCATGAAATTCTAACTCCAAGACTGGTCTATGAGACGCTCTGCTGGTTCTGATCGCCGCGAGAGCTTTTGGATCACCGTCATTGTAAAATCAATCTACATATTTCAGTCAAAATAACTCATAACTGATTTCCAAGATCCCCTTATTCAATTTTCACAGTTATCTTCATCAAGACTTTAATTGGTCACACTCTACTTGAAACTTCGACTAACTTCGTACAGAATTTCTACCTAATGTAGAAACCACTTTAATCAATCTTACAGCAAGATTACAATAAATCAACAAACTCGAAGCGTATCATTTTCTTATCTTAAGAATAATTAAAAAGGTATAAAGTAGGTACGGACCGTGGGTTTTCGTACAACATTCGAGCGGAATCGAATGGATACGAATGGAATCGAATGGAATCGAGCTCGGGGTTTCGTTTCAAAGAAGGGATCTCACGGGTTTTATCGAGGCTCTCGATCGCGCTTGCGAATCGCGCGAGCCAGACGGATAGGGCCGCGATACACGTCGGCCAACCTGGCAGCACAATGTGTTCGGATAATTTATGCCGATGACGTAGAGACGGCTGGACGTGTGTACACGTGGTTCGCCGCGGTAGGTGGAAGAGGGTGGTCGTGGTGGTGGTGATGCAGATAATCACAAGTTTAAAGGGTAAACGGGTGAGGTGTGAGGTTAGGCCCTCGAGCCTCTCTCACCGCGCTCAATATTCAACAGGTATTTACATTCGCAAATTGTTTACGTCAGCCCACGATGAAATCTGTCAGGATTTCGTTCCCTCGGCAGCTTAACAGCCTCCACCTTCAACCGCCTTCTTCTTCATCTTCGATATACTCTTCTTGTTTCTTCGTTTGCCCGTTCTCCCTCTCGTTTACTCGACGAGGATCACCACGAACGTACGCTGGCGTCAGCCGCTATCCTCTTCCCCGCGCCTTTACCCTTCCTCCGGCCAGTAATTACATCTGGGTATTAATCAAGCGTACGTCGTGAACGAGAACCCGCGAGATCTTGATTTTCGCCACTTGCCCACGCGGACGATGCGCGAGAGTGTTGGCCAACCCCCGGCCAACCGTAACCCCGAGGTCCGCGCCAGGTTATTAATTTATTGGAGACGCCTGGTTAGCTTGGCTGAACTTGATTTATGGGACCGTGAACGCGTGCTGCGTTTTCTATGCGAATTTTTTTCAGATTCTCGTTTGCGTTTGAAAACTTCACGGTGATAGAACAAGTATTTCATTTCGTACTTGTTATCATTTTTTTTAAACAATATTCTTATTCTCTTATTAACTTGCTGGATGTTGCTTATCTTCGGACAACATCGTGGCAACTTCGTTATAAATAGGACTCATTAAATTATCTCTCCTTCGCACGAAAAGCAGCGAGGGGTTTATCAGAGTGTAACGTTATCATCTTCTATCAACACTAACCTCTATCCGCTCGTTCCATTAATTGTGTTTTGAAGCGCAACTTTGTATCGATCCCTCGTCCCGATATACTTGCGACAGATCAGACAAGATATATCTTTCCGACGGTGGACGAACAAGAGTAAGAAAAATCTTTATCGCTCGGCTACGATTAATAACGCTTGCCACCGAACTTGCTTTCCGTCGATTCCAGACGAAGCGATAATTCATCAAACCGGCTGAAAATTAAAGTTCGTTACTCTACGCACGACGCGTACACGTTGTTCGCCAATTAGATATCGCCGCGGAAACTGTGCGTCTCGAGGCTCTTAAGAGCGATCGATAAGAAAGCGTGTTAGGATAATTGCTTATTTCTCACGATCGATCGTCGACCACGATAAACCAGTCGACGAGTCGCTTGATAAGCTTGCGCGATTCTTTGTCTAATCAATCATAACGGGACATTTTGATAACGGTACTAAAAGGAACTTTTATTATCACTCACCGTCCTGGTTCATCCCGTGGCCTCCGTCATCTGTTCAAAACAAAGAAAATAATTTAATTATTTCATCGAGAATTGGATGGAAAACATAGCTTTCTGATCGGTAATTAATCAGATGTAATTTATAGATACACGGTTGGATAATCTAAACTTTAGTTTATAAAATATTTAAACAGGGATGTCCGATCAACGATGTCGATACACCTTCGAACGCGTCTAGACGCAAGCTTGTCCCCGATGAAAAAAAAAATAAATAAATAAATAAAAATGGAAGGAGTAGCTTCTAACGTTGCAGGTTGCAGATCATGACGACTTGCAAGGAGAAAACGATAGCAGGCTCTAGTGGCGGAGTGCAAGCTATTTGTACTGGTGGCTGGTATCGCGGCATCGCGCTGTGTTCCTTTATTTAACCCTATAAATAACCGGCCGCTATCTCACCCCGTGAACGTTTCCTTGCTAAATACGAACACAGAGACGGGCATCGCGAAATATTACGTGCTGCCAGTCACTCTGTTACGGGGTTGCCACGATGCGAATCCCCATCAGCGATCCAGCCAGCCCGACCAAAGGAAAAGAATTCCACGCCACGATGGACCTTTCTTCTTTTTATTGTTAGAAAGATTGCGGGTTACAGAGGGGTATAGGATCGCTCGTATCGTCGTTCGACTCTCGTACTAACTCTTTTAATTCTTTGGTAGGGTGCCAAAGATTGATAAACTACTTTTTATTAACCCTTTCACGGACGATGCAATTTTCAATCGAACCTTTCTTTATTCTAAACGTACGCTTACGAGTGTGATTTTCTTTGAACGTTTCGAGGGACTTGATGCTTTAACCGCGTTGTGAAATGAACTTGTTAATTTCAGGGGACAAGTTCCACCGGCAGGTTCTACAACGTTACATTCATCGTCACGTTCCTTCACAGAGGCGGACAGTTTCGATGCATATGAAATTAATGTACCGGGGTAAGATTTAATGCTTCGTACCTGCTGCCACTGTCTCCATACTTAGCGACGTATTATGCTGGCTTGAATGTGAATGCGGACATTGACAAATCGGGGGGATAATGTAGGAGTGGAGGAATTTTTAGAAACGACGCGTTGCTTTTATTATTCCAAAATGTGAATTTCCCTACGTCAGAGTTGTGCTTAAAGTATTTAGAAAGCAGAGAATGTTTCTAATAGTAAAAAATTTATTTTTCAGGGTAGTAAGACGGAGGATGGGAGAACGACTATCGTCCAACGAAGGTGAAATCATAGGATTCACGAGGTTAGTAAAGCATACATTAGAATAATTTCAACGAGTATTAGGCGTACGGTTCGCATAAACGATCGCTGCGTACACGCCGGTATTAATTACAAATTAATGCAACTAGATAACCACGCGCCATTAGAGATAATCGCGGCTCGATCTCGCGTTCCCTTCGATCCGATCTCGGCCTCTCGATCGGCAATTAAAACATTGTCGCGACGGTGGTCGACGCGAGAAAATCGAGAAACGAGAAAAATCCGGCAAAGCACGGGAACCCAATTTATGTCCCTCCCATTCTGCAACTCTTCTATTTCTCTTCTCTCTCGTCTAATTAAGCGTTGTGTCCCCTCGTTAAGGATGTACCACGGTTACGTTCGATGTATCGATACTAATTGCTTCGAAGGGAAACGCTGCGACCATTTGAGAAATTGATTCCTACCATACGTTTCTCTATTTGTGGATCAATTAAAGATATTCGGCACTGTGCGTCAACTTAATTCCGTATACAATAAGCGTCGTTGCGAATTTCTTGGGGAAAACGAGGAATGGAACGAAAGAAAATAAGGAAACGAATGGAGCATCGACGGAGACAATGAATTATAGGCTTTGTTCCTTATTATCGAGACGATCTTTCTTCGGCACCGATGATTGGCCGCGTGATATCGATCTTTGACGATCGAGATATAGGCACAATGGCCCGAGGTGGTCCTGCGTGATCAATTTAATTCGAATAGCTGGACGTCGCGCAGCGTGATACGACAAATATTTAGAATCGCATTAACGAAAGGGTTAGCTTTGATTAACCTTTGCGTCGGCGTATGCAATTAGCAGCCTGATCGGTCCATATGGATTTGTCGTTAACAAATAAACCATCCATCAGAAATGTTTATTCGTGGATTTATAATATATCGAATGAAAGGGAACGAAAATAATTGAAGGGAACGATAGAAGATTGAAAATGAAGTGGCACATTCACGTGTGGTCTTCGAACTGATCGAAAGACTTTCTGTCAAATACTTGATATCATTAGATTTAACGACCCCTCCTGGATGTCTCCTTCCTCTTTCTTCTCCGTTTTCCCCCTGGTCCCGTTCACCACGGGCCATGCCGCGTTAGTGGCTGCTGCCAAGGCGGCAGCCTTTCATCTTCCTTAACCAGCGCCACTCTCTTCAGCGTCCGGAACGACTATATACGCGACTCGACCACGATGAGAGTCCACGAAGCGACCGCTGGTTCCGGAGAACTACCGCTTCACCGGACCCTTTGTGCGCGTTTCCTCTTCTATACAGGGTGCTTTCGTAAAATGCACCAGCGTATCATTTACCGAACCCTCTATGTCCCAGTTAGAATTTTGCAATCCTTGATTGTCGATTTCATTTCGATCGATTAAATCTTATGCCATGAAATTTTCATTTTTTCCAAAATATTGAAATACTAAACATCCAGAGATTCCAAAGTCTACCATTTTATAATCAGTTCCCAAGGAGTTAATTGACCGATTCTAGGCAATTTTTTGAATTTCATCCAATTTGATTGAACCGAAGTAGCTAAGGCGAAATCGCCAGGCACACCGTGTATACGTGTATGTACGTGCGCTCGAAAAGATCGTTGCCGTGGAACTCGTGGCAACTTCAGCTAACTCGATTGTTCCGTACGGAACAAGGAGGCCTTTCACGCGGCTCTTGTTCTGCCGGTCTTTGATGAAGGATCGGCACGTATCGGCCGGCTCGATGTCCCGCGAGGATAAGATTCAATTAAGTCGATATTGATGCGACGATAAGCGCAGTAAGATAACAGGGACTCGAGGGTAGCAACGTATCATTACGGCTTAATGAAGAAATTTTGTGCGAACCGATCTATCCGCTAACTCAAACGGGAAATCGTTTTAATTTCCCTCCTACGAGGGGTGTGTACATCATATGCAAACTTGCACTAAGAAATGAAGGAAAAAATATATTTAGAAATTGATGATACTTGGACTGACTAATTGAGTCTTATACTCCATAAACACAAGATTACAGCTCTCAATCGAGAAGCTACATTACCGCTAATCGAGTACCTAAAATTACATCCATCACGTACGCAGTTGCAAATACCGTGAATGCTTACGTTTCGCAATCACGAAATTAATAAATCCATAAAGTCAAACGTGCCAATTTTCCTCGACACAAACAACGCGCCGCTATCCAGCGAACAATCGCGCCGTAAATCATCTCCGGCTTCTCCTAATTGACGAATAAATCGCAGCCGAAAGTGGAACCATTCGTCATTCCGGAGAGGCGTACAACGAGCATCGTAAAATTCCCTCCGTCTGGAACGCTGTGCAAGAAACGGGGTTGATTTGAACCCTTTCACAGTGGCATTTATTACGTCACGATAAAAGGAAAAGATAAATCCTTATTATTCAAGAACTGTGAAAATGAAAATTTTCCTAAAAGCACCAATATACATAAGGTATGCAGCGAAAGGGTTGACGCGTGTGCTTGGCCGAGGTATTTGTGAATTCCGTTGAATTCCATTGAATTAACTCGGCGAACACAGTGCACCGTCATCGCTTGAGATCGTAATAGAAGCGTCGAGCGGCGTGGACGAAGATTTATCGAGGGTTTCCGCGAAGCACGTGCCAGGAACTTTTTGCAGGTGCAACATTCCTATCGGCTTGCGATCACGCGAAAAATATGACCGCGTTATTAGATCGAAAATCGGTGTCGTGATCGATAGAACGATCAAATTTTGAAATAAATGAATCAACGATCCATCGTGTGTTTATACAACTATGATTAACTTGTACCATCGAAGAGTTGAAAGGTAACGATCGCTGTTATGTAGCTTCGATTTCTAAAGGAATAAACTAACATCGCTTCGAGGAGGAAAAAAGAGTATGTACCTTGAAGAAGAAGAATTTCAAGAATGTCCCGGAGCGTGCTGATACACGATGGGCAGGAGAAAAAGCAGTGTACAAGTGTCTGCATCACCTGTAGATCGTTTTTATCGAGTGGACGTTGACTCGACAACGCGAGCAAGAAGAAGACTAATTACGATGATAGAACGTTTTATGTTAGCCTTTTAGCGTAATATCAGAATTCATACGTTCCGATGGGAAATGATTCGAACAACAAACACGCGGTTAATAACGAATAAATAAAATTAGAAGTATGTTAAAATATGAATAAAATTAGAATCGCAGGAAAGTATTTTCATCTAATCACGTATTCAATATATATATTTCATCTTAATTCGTGTTTCGAATAATTTAATAAAATATTTCATTTTCATTCAAAATTACTCTTTCCTGCGAAATAGAAGAACAATCGGGATGGATTCGTAAGAAGAAACATACGTTTTTTCTTGGAGTCCTCGTGCATACCTCCGGGAGTTGCAGCTCCGTGATTATGGTGGTGGAGGACCAGGGGATCCTGAGGATGCGGATGAATGGCGGTCAGGGCACTTCCGGCTGGGTCACCTGGGTTGACCCCGACCCCGACCCCCAGGTGAAGAGCACCATGCTGCGTCGCGTGTGCCGGAAGCTCCATGCTGATCATAGCACGCCACCCTTCTTCCAACCCTCCTCTTCCGCCACCCTCCTCCGCCGCGGACAACACCCCGTCGATTTGGACGAGGTGTCTCGTCAACCCCTCGTCTCCTTCTGAAACACGAAACGTTTTAATTAATTAGCGACAACGTTCTATTTCTACGAAAGAAAAAGCCTGGGCACTCTGTCACGAAGCTGTTTTTCTCGACTCCGGGGCTAGGCAGCTGACGGAGTGTCTGTTCAGAAAATGGTAACAGAGTTTCAATGATCGATTCTCGACCAGCTGGTAGCAAGAATAGCGTAGACAATGGGGTGGTTGAATCGCGGTTAGCGGATGGACGAAAGTCGAGCGTGTCGCGGGCGTGCAGAGAGTGGCAGAAAAATCGAGCGGCGTCGCGTCGCTCGAACCGCGGTTGAATCGCCTTTGCCACGCTTTTTACGCCCGCGGCCGACCGTTTCTTCGTTCCTCTCCGCGTAATGACCCGGCAGGGCCAATCTTTTTTGCTTATTACCGTCGAGAAGGCCGCCACGAAGAGGCCCGCTAGCCACCAGTGATTCCTCGATGAATGAAAGGATGAATGGAGCGTCATTTCGGCCGCGTTCCCGCCGATACTCCGCCGACCTCGAATGCTAGCCTAGCCCACGATTTCGGTTCCGTCCAAGGAAATTGCTTTTCTTGCCAGCTACCAGCCAGTTTAGATGATACTTCTCAAAGCTGACTCGATTATCCGAAAAAGTAGATTAAATTTTTGCCGTTGCTTCGAGCAATCTTGCAACTGGATCCCAAAGTTTCTCAGCAAACACAAATACCAGCGCGAATAGAGCAAACTATTCCCTAAGCTCTCTCGAAAACGCTCCCTAAACGGACGTGGAGCGATCATCTTCGTGATCGGCGCTGAAAAGAAGCAGGAACGTCGAAACGACACGAAGAGAATCGGCAAGAAAAGGAAGGAGCGCAACCGTTGTTGAAGGTTCAGCAAAAAGTCAGGAACTTATCGGAAATGAGGACGAGGATGATTGTTTAGCTCGTAGGCAGCGGGTAACCTTCTGCTTGGAGGATCTTCGTTCAGGGTGCTTCTCGCTGCAGAAGAAGAAGGGGGCTCGTGCTACCAGGCGGTGGGCCCTCCTAATGGACCCTGGAATGTAGCTAGAACGCCGAGTAAACGTCGGGTAAAAGCTGTACGGATCGTCGATGGGGAGAGGAAAAGAGGAAGTCTCGCGGTCGGTGCGAGACTTGGAACAAGCTTAAGTAAAGCAAAGTGGGTGAGTGGTGGACGGGTAAAGTGCGCGTAAAGACCAGGCAGAGCCCCGAGTCGTTTCGATGAGACTGTGTTCTCTCTGTAACCGTGGGAGTCTGGCGAACGGCGATGCCCGGCTCCGTGTCTACGCATTCGCTAAAACCATTGTTTATGGCAGTACTGAACAGACCGCGTATACTTTGCTAACTAGCCCCTCTCGCGAGGGCACAGCTCTTTAGAGAGAGCCGAGAGCTCTAACTGTCGGGGATGGACGAGGATACGTTCCCGTGCACCGGCAGACTTTGCTCGGAAATCATGTTTGCCTAGGGAATGGGAAACGAGCCTCGCGTGTGGTCAGCGTCTTCCATCAGGATCGTTGCTTTCTAGATCTCCGGCAGTCAGCTGCCTTTTTTTTTCTTCCGAATGATTTGGTCATTCTTTACCTGTCGTTTGTGCTCTATTCAAGTATACGCTCAGGTGTGCGTATCTTTTCAAGCAATATACCTGATAATTATATAGAGTAAGGTATACTTTGAGGATTTCAATTATCTTGATGTATAGAACGTTTCAAGCAACCGGGACAAGCTGTGTCTTTACGACTTCTGCATAATAGACTTCACACAAATAATTTTATTTCTATCTCTGCAAGAAGCATTTCAAGTTAACCTCATGCTAATACCAAAGCGATCGACCTTCCTTCCCATCGTGGTCGGTAAAAACCAGAAAACTTCTCCGTAGAGAATCAATGTACTCGAAGTATTTAATATAAAACCTCGGATTCCTGGATGGAATAGGGCAAGAAACCGGTACAGTCCCGGTGGCTGGAAGGAGAAGCTAAGAGCCATGCAGTCTGTGGATCGAGTCTCTTATAAACTATACTTCGAAACAGATCGGTCTGAACAGGCTGTTCCGAAAAATGACGACGTATCATTAATTCGACGACGTTCTCGTTCATTTCCGCTTTTACGATCGTGGCCAGCTACGTGAGAAAGAATGCAACACGGAAGCTCCAACATCCCCGTAACGCTCCATCTCTTCCCTTCCCTATATAGATCATGATGAGAATTCCGCGCGTTCCGAGCAACGATTCGAATAAATTAATAAACATGACCGAAAGGGAACGGAGGCGCCGGTGGATTCCAAAGCAGGCACGAAATCCCACGGGATCGGACGAGGCTGAATCCTTTTTCCGCAGGATCCCATCGAACGTTCCTCGGCTTTCGTTTATGGACCCGACCGGTTGCATAATGTTCAACGCGTTTTCGCGTGATGGTACACGCGAACACACGGATCGCGTAACATTGCGGATCGCTCACGAACGCGTTTAGTACCATGAATCCGTCGGTCGAGCAATTTCTCGATGCATATTGTCACGCGTTGTTAAGCGCCGAGAACACCGCCATTACGAGCAGTCAGTCAGTCGAAGGACCGACCGATGGCGGACGATGGAACAGAGGAAGAAAAGGCACGTTTTGCTAGGGCTACCGGTTGCCTCGACCAGCATCGGCTATTCCCTGTTTGCTGTTTACGTAAGCAGACGATGATCGTTCGAGGTACGCTTGGTATTCCTCTGGAAATTCGAGCGATACTTGTCTGCTCCATTTTCACTCCGCTCTTCCCATGATGCGTTTTTCAGAACCCCACGATACCGGGAGGGTAATTGAGAGATTTTGTTGGTTCGAGGTTTTACGAGGTTCGTGTATTGGGAATTTTTTAAGGTAAAAAGCAATTTAGAAACTGTTTGTAATTTTACTTTCAGAAAATTATTCAACTTTAATAACAGCGCTCGTCCGCCGTTAGGTTAACGATCGAGAGGAGCAACAAAACGGTAATAGTTCGCTTAGGATGCGATCTAGCGTCGAGTGAGATAAATAATTCATAATAAATGGAGGGGATGCGAGTCGTTTTTCCAGGGGACATCGATCGGACGCGTAGAGGCGACGATGATCGCGCAGCTTCCGCATGAATATTCAGACGAGGCGTAGCCCCGCTTTGGTCCACGTAATCGGCCAGCACTCGAGGGATTAGCATCGGCACTCGATCGAGCTTTCGTTGAACAAAAAGTATCTCTCGGTTCGCTCATTAACCCCATTGCCCGTACTTGGCCACCGTGCACGTGGTGCAGCTACGCGTGCAATTCACAAACGCATATATCTACATTAATAGAAGGTACGGTGGCCGGTGTAAAGTTGCCGCTTCGAGAGCTAAATGAACGGTAATCGACCGCTCGTACGGATTGTAACGCGAAAATCCTCGGAAATGAAGACCTCCCGAAGTGGCTTCGAAGCGTTGATTATAGGCTTCGATGCTTGATTACACGCGAGCTGTGAATGCGAATAAATCTGGAAGCCAAGAGACCCGCGTCGAGATTTACCGCGCCTCATTAATTGAATTGGTGTACACTGTCTTTATTAACTTACACTGGTGAACGTAAATCGGTGGTCTCAGGATTTATTGAACCTGATAATTAATGGAGATGGAAATTAGAATTTTATTAGAGCGACAAGTCAATTCGCATTCTCGACACTTTTTTTCTCTAAAGGAGTTTTTAATTAAATTAAGTACCGTTTCAATTAATCATCTTAGCGGAGTGCCGAGAAACGGTTCAGAATTCTCGTTGTTAGTGTTAAACGTTCTCTCCTTCTAACAAATTCAAACATAATTGTAAGATCAACTATCGAACGGCAGGTAAAGGAAAGACGAGAGAAGCAACATAAATCACTGGTCCATAGTTTGCGGGGCGTTTTACCGGGGAACGAGGCCGATTGACCCGGGTACACACGGTATCGTTCGCGAATCTGCCGCGTTCACGGTTTATCAGTGATCGGCTCGTAAATCCCGAGCATCGTTATCGCCGGTTGTACCCGCGTGCACGTTCGCCACTTGGTCGACACTTCGTCGGCTCGCGGTGTACTGTTAATGAACAAAAATCCGCCGGTCTACTGGAGCATGGCGAGAACAGCCCACGTAGTACGAGTACGTGCATAAGTGCGTTTACTCGATGCTTATATCGCGACAGCCTCCAGAGATGATTCCGGTTCACTTCCTGTGCCCGATTATTCGACCGAGTAAAAGGGAAAAGACGGCGCCGGTTTCGCGAAACACCGGTTCTCGATGAGCCACCTGTGGCACGTGCCGCTTGCGATCGTTCTTGCGAGACCTCTTACTCGTCGTTCCTTCGTTTTGATTAGGTTTGTCATTGAAGGAAGAGAAAGTTATCGGAAATTCTCATATTTATAAATTATTGAATAGAGACATAAAATTACATAGGCCTCGTATTCAATGAATCTCTCGGCAATGAAAATGTTGATAAATAATTTTATTGGGAAAAGATGTAAGGATCATAAATTCAGTCGACGTCGATATCCTCGTAAGCTATTATAACGAAATTTGAAATTCTTCATGTTTGTAGCGCTATAGTGACACGTCAAGATGGAGTTTCAATCGCGTTAATATACGTACAGGAATGGTATAAAGTTTGCATCGGGACTTGTCGATAGAGCACCGTTCGATTACACAACGACGACAGTAACGGTGTGTACAATAAAGTAGCATGTAATAATGCCCGCTCCACGCAGGGGTCCCTCGTTTCTTCGAGCGAACGAGAGTTTCTCGGTCGGTTGATTGGCCGCTGCACGAAGAAATCGGCCTTCTGATTCCGGTTTTCCGTTCGCGGCTGCTCGTCGAGAAGGAGGCGAGCCTCCTCTTTTCGCGGACTGTGTAATAATGTAACGACGCGCCGCTTATTAATCGCCTCTTTCAACAAATGCACTAGCTTTCATTGACAGAGCAAGAAATCGTTTCGGAAGCAAAACACAATTTCAATTGTCTTCTCGTTACAATTTCGTGGCATACATTTCTAATTGTATATCATTT